TGCTGTTCTACTCCGAGAGGGGTGAATTTCTGCAGCTCTGCTTTCTCCAAACATTGCTGAGCAATGCATTCATTACATCACGTGGCTACATGGGCAACAGAACTGACTTCAAAGCTGCTTACCCACATGGGTTCTTGTTACACTGGAAACTGGCAACTCGCACAGTAACGTCATCCAGGTATTGAGAAAAATCAGATAAAACTTGCTGTTGTCACTAGCTCAAGGCCCAGCTTAAGTCCCCACCCAAGATAGGGCCATACAGAGCTTTAGGTTATTTTGCAAATGTTTCTCATCAAAAGCTTTGGCTTCGTTTCTTCCTCTTCTTGCCCACGCAAAGATCCTGACAGGGAGAATATGATGACCAAAGTGCTTAGAAAGAGCCCTGCCAGTTCACTGAAAAAAAAAAAAAAAAAAAAAAAAAAAAAAAAAGCCCCAGGCAAAACTCTGCGGGGGCAATAAACTTGAAAGCAACATTCATAATTACCTGCAGCACACAGGCTGTACACCTCTTGTTTAGCAAGACATGCGTGCATGGGCTGTTCTTGATATCAACACCTCACCCCATCAGCACAAGCAGAAAAATCCTGCTCATTTGGGAGAGGTGTTGAAGAAAGAAAAAGACAAAGAATTAAAAAAAAAAGATAAAAAGAAAAAAAAAAGCAAGCTAATTCCAAGTTTAAAGCAATCCCAGTTTTGCTGCTCTGAAGCAGCAAAATAGGCCATACACAATTCAAACTTTAGAAAAATTTCAGACTGACAGGCTTTCTCCCTGAAAGTTTTCAAAGCATTTGTTTCATGCCTATCTAAGGAACCAAGGAGGAAGTTCCACAGCAGCTTAAACCAACCTAGAAGGAAGACAGGGTTTTCCAGCTGTTGTTCTGAGATAGTTTTCCACCTAACCACCTCCCTGAGTTTGCAGCTCTGGCTCAAATAAGATAATGGGTCTGCAGGACAGTTAGAAGGAGTCAAGGTGTCATGGCCCGACTCTCTGACTTCAGCAGTCATCAAGCTGCGTGCTCAGAAATCTTTGTCAGGTGTTAGTTTTTTGATCATCTTATTTGGGGCATAACTTTGATGCATTTCTTAGGCAATTGAGATCCTACCAGTTATCTTCTCAATCCAAACAGATATCCTGTAGCCACAGGTCCCCCAGAATAGTCTATAAAATATTCCAAGATTAAAATATTCCAATAAACAACACATTTTAAATTCTAGCTGGACAGTAAGCTGCTATTGTATTTGCATACATGCCTTTTAATCTTTTGAATTGCAAAGATGGCTTTTGAAATGCAAAGATGTGTCTGTAACATTCCTATCCTACCTATTAATGGCCCTACCAAAACTCTAGCATTAGAAATTTACCCCTCTTAAAGCCAAGAGGGGAAAATGTAATTAACAGCAAATACAAAGTCAATCAGTTTTCTAGAAAGGAACTTGGAGCGAGTCAAAGGCTCACAAGAAGCGGGGAACTATTTGACTGTAAACCTGAGAGAGGATGCTGGCAGGATCCCAACACAGACTGGAGGTGCTTCTGGTTCGTAGAGTCCAGCTGAAACCGGCCCGGTTTAAAAATGAAGGTCTGCAGACGAAAGTCTTCCAAAAATTGAAATGAGAATGAATCAAATGAAAACAAACAAAAATGCAGACTTGTCTGCTCCAGCAAGCATTCTGTCAGCTGTACGCTCAGCCTGTGCTGGCTGGCAGGGGATCCAGGGATTTGTTTTATACAAACCAGAGTTAAGGCAGCTCGAGGTTCCTCTCGAGCTTCACCTGCTGGTACCTATGAAGCAGCATGTCCTGACACATCCACCCGCCGCAGAGCTGTTTGCAGTCTCCCTCTCTCACTTCACTTGCTCTTTGCTTGTTTTCTGCTTCCTGATCTTAACTCTGATAATTAAGTGATGGGACATGAAGGAACACTTTCACCCCACTGTCAAATGAGACCTTACCCTTCTTTCCAGTGTGACTGAAACCAGCTGCCAGGGCCAGCAGTCATTAGGGGACAAAACCCCAGAACATGGGGACAGCAGCCTCCACAGCCACCCACCCCGCAGCCCCTCAACATACCTGCTAAAAAGCGCTTATAAATGAAATCTTTCTCACTTCAAATGAAGCTCATTATTTCTTCTAGCCTCAGTGAATCTGGTGAAAGATTAAAAGTCTGTCTGCTTTGAAACAACCTCTAATTTGTTTCAAGACCTCTACTCTCTGCTGTCATAGAGACTCTAGACTAAATAATCCCTTACCTCCCCATCATCACTGCTCTGAGCCACATTTGCCAAACCTCTCCGGGCCATTCAATGCTCTATTCAAAGAGCAATTTCTTTTCATCTCTATCAAAGCTCAGTGTCCAAACAGGACACAAAGACTTCACCACATCCATGAGCATAAAACCTCTCTTTCTCACCTCCTCTTACATAGGACACTTGTATCAATGTGCTGTACTGCGGTGACTTCATCTCAAAACAAAAACATTTCCTGAATCTGGGGGAGTTCACCCTCATTTGCAGTTTCTGCAGTGCTGTGCAGCTGGTTATTGATTACTTGGGTTTTCTGTATTTGATTTCACCTTTCTCAGTTCAGCATTACACTTCTCTTCAGGGAGTCTTATGCTATTGGTTTCAGATCATTTCTCCCATTTATCAAGATCATTTTGAATTGTAATTCAGTCCTCTGTACTGTTTGTATCTCTTCCCAGCTTGGTGCCCTGGACATATAATAGCTGTACTACCTATTCCATCATGCTGCATTAATGAATATATTACAGGGAACCTGATTCCAGGAAAACCAAAATAATCTGCCATTTGAAGTGCTTTTCAAACTGAGAGTAACCACCGATAGCTCCTGTCCTCGGGGATAACCTCATCCTCTATCATATTCTTAATATATTTCTGAGATCGCTCTTCACTATTTCAAATCACACTGCTTCAAATACTGAGATGTGTACTCTTTAGTCTGATTTTTCCTATTCTGACTCCTAAAACCATATTCTCGCTATATTTACTACATGGTTTAATAAACTTCTGTGCAATATCTGAAGGCTGGTAACACATCACTGCTACTCCTGCTTTGCCATGGTCTGCACCTGACTGCAGTTTCTCCCCTTTAGTCTTGTTTGTGGCTGTGCACATTGCAGCGGCCAGCACCAGCCAACACAAGCATGTCTCATTTTCTTTTGATGAAACTGCATTTTCAGTGGATAACTGTTCCTTTTTTTTTTTTTTTTTATTCCAAGTCTTAATTAGGAGAACAAAGTTGTTGAAAGCCTTGTCTTGCCCTTCTCCTCTTCCTGCACACAAAGTCTTCTTTCACAGACTCTGGGTTGGGTTTTTTTTTTGTCAAACAGCTCAGCAAAGCTGACAGATTGACAGTCATTAAATACAGAAACTTTATTTCACAATATCCCTAAATTACATGTTTCAAATGAAAAATGACACTTGCTTAAGGCATAAAGTGTAGTTCTTGGGTTTTTTTCCCTACTTCTGCCTTTTTCCTGTGAAGACTTAAAGTATTATTCTTTTTGTTATGGTAATGCAAAAACCTCTTTCTTGCATCTCAAATTAAAAAAGGGAAAGCTAGCTATGTGCCTTGGATAATGATTCAACTATTGATCCAGCAGATGCTTTATTAGATTATTTTGAGACAGCCGAATGTAATTTAATACCTATTTATTTTCTATTCCTATGCCAGTCCAAGATACAATCTTTTCTGCATGAAATTAGTACTTTCTCCTTTCAACCTCAAAGAAAGATTACACTGTCCTACTTTCTTAGATTAGTTTAGGGAACTTTTTCAACAAAGCATTGATCTTGAGGTTTCTTGATAGTCTTTTAATACTTTGAATCCAAAACCTCAGCTGGGCTCAGTGGGTTCTAGGCTCATCTTTCTTACTATGTGTTAATGCAAAAACTAGTGATGTCAGACAAAAGGGAAAGAGAATCCACATGAGGAAAATAGAGACAGAGAGGAAAAATTAGGAGGTTTCATACAGGCAGAGAGAAGACAGACAAATGGCATTCTTTTTATAGTTATCTGGAACCTACAGAAGGCATTGTGTGATGGCACACCAGAGCAGCAAGAGAGCACAAGAGTTATTTAGGTCAGTCAAAATTAGGGTGTGCTTTTATTGATGTAAGACTAAGCCCAGCTCCTTTATGTGCAGCTATTGCTGGGACACACCATCTTGCTGTCTACATCATCCACAAGCTCCCTCACAGGCCAGAAACTGCAAACTTCTCTGCAGGGTCACTTCCTGAAGCAAGCAGAATTAGCTGGCAGTATCAGATGGGCACCAGTGCAGGAGAAAAAGACAGGGGCCGAAAGATGTGGATGGGAGGTGAAGAGGGAGTGACAGCAGCTTGCTGGGCTCATACCTCACATTAGAGAGCCTCCAACTTCAATAAAGATCATCAGGAATCGTGATGGACCTCACAAAGAATGAGAAATTTGAGGCTGCCAAATTTGGACTTACTGGAATACTTTGAATTATTAATTTCTGTTACCAGCAGCCTGTCACTGAAAGGCAGAGCAAGGAATGGCTTGTTGACCTTCAGCAGTAGCCACAACACTGGGGAAATTTAGGGTCCTCTCTCGTGGTTCTGAAACCACCCAAATCAAGCTGATAAAGCCCAGGAAGTCAAAATCTCTCTCCTCTTAATGAACACTCTCTCAAACTCCTGGACTCCAGATATGGGGCTGTGGGCAATTTCCCTCCTTTATTTCTATTTGGACCTGGGAAAGGAAGAGAAAAGGGTAGGAGGATCTTTATAGGGAAAAATGACTTTCCCTGAAACAAAAACATTACAAGTTAAATATCACACAAAATGCTCTATAAAAAAATTATGATTGTTCCTCTGTCACAGGAGGGGTCATGAACCTCCCCTGCCATTCTTCATGGATGGAATTAATCCTCCAGCAGCAGCAGCAGCACTGCCTTGCCCTTCACCTGCTTTTGGCAGCCCCCTGTGATCACCCAGGCTGCAAGTGGCTGGGAAGGGACCTGCCACCACCTCACACACCACCTTTCATTTGTCCTGTTCATTACTAGACCTTCCTCTCATGTTTTTGAATTTAACTGTAACAAATACACAGGGAATCAAATGCATACTGGCTCTGAACTGACCAAAAAATACCAAACATCATTAGACAGGGCAGAGGTGGTGGACCTGAGCAGGATTGGGTCTTGATTTCCCCTCTGCCTCCCCTCCCAGAGGGATGCTGAGCTCTTGCTTAAACAAGCGGCAGCGAGTAGGAGATGCTGACCTTCAGCCCGAACAGCACGAGCCGAGGAGGGAGCAAGCTCTGCCAACACAGATGCACCTTAAAAATTGAACTTTGGCTTCAAGCAGCACAAACACACGTCCTGATTGTACCTCGTACTGCCCGTTAAGTCGCCCAGATGACACTCAGTCTGGTGTTAATAAGCCATTTGTCCATCTGGTGCTTGTACAAACATGCCTTCTCAATGGTATTTCAAAAGTGACAAGTATTAACTCTACAAATGTCTGAAAAGAAATTCCACAAAAATCAACACCAAACTGTTGTTGCCAAACATGGATGTGACAAGAGCCAAACTGCACTGCGTAAATCCTAACGTGCCTGCGCTGATCCCAAGAAAGTGCTTATTTGCAAAGTTTTCACTGGGAGAAATCAAGAGCAGCAGCCGCTCACTTGACATTGCACGAACTAAACAATAAACAAGTACTGAGCACCTCCAGCCTCCATACAGCACCAGCAGTTGGCTACTATTTCCAGGGATAAGAACTCAAATTAAGGTAAACAGACAGCAAAATATGTGCCCAAAGCAGCTTCTGGTCCTTTCTGTGGTACAAGAGCAAGCTTGCTATACCCCAGCTCATATACATGGGGATCTGCAGGGGATCAGAGGCAGATCAGCATCAGGGAGGATTCAGAGACAGATTTGTACTAGCAGCTGGGGTAGGTTTTACTAATCAAACTTGCTGCAGAAAGTCTAGAAAAATCAAATTTCAGAGGCAAGAAGTTGCATCTACTCTGCCAGTAGAAAACTGCTCCCTGCAGAGTATTTTTCTGGCACATTCTGGCTAAGGCACAAAGACAGCAGTAGGTCTCCCTTAAACAGAGCATCACAGTGTAAGATGAGAGAATCTCATTTTAAAACAAAATATCTGCACTGCAAACAAAGCCCACCTTCCTGGAGAGCAGCAATTGGAAATACTTGTTTATGTACAAAGTTAGTCTGGTAATTCTAAGCTGTTAAGTCTCAGGGAAATATTACAGAAAATTTATATTCTTGTGACACATTGTTATAAAGGGAGCATCTTCATACCACCTTTTGCCAAGAAGAAATAATCAGGGAAAGTTTTTTTTCTTTTCTCCTGCCTCTTACTACTCTACAGAGCAAGGATGGGAAGTCCTCATTAACAAAAGGAAACTTATGAACCAACATGAGAAAGTGGGGCACGGCACGCGCTGTTATTTTTCTGGACAGAGTAGCAATGTTTTACTGATAAACAAACAGGATGAAATTGCTAATTACAGCCTGGAGCTAAGAGGACTTTTATGAGTATCACGCTGGAGTCTGAGCACCTGTTCTCAACAGGAAGAGATGTTTCATCTCCAAAGGACAGACTCAAATTTGCATGGCCGCAACCTTTTATGAGGCCATAGCACCTCTCCAGTCATTAGACCAGACTGATTAAAACTGTTTTGATCCTATTCTTTTGCACTGACCTGGCTTTCTCCCCAGCATGGCAAATTTGACTTTGCAGGAGGCTTTTGTTTCAATTTTACAACCCATTTAATAGCTTGAATCCCTAAATTAGATCCTTTCAGAACTACAGTACAGTACCATAAAATATTACAACAGGCAACACCATAGTGGTCTACTCAAATTTCAATTGCCCTGCGTGACTGCAGGCAGAAGATATTTCTGCCTGTTACAAGTTTCATCCATCTGCTTTCCTCCCTCCCAGCTACAACCAAGCCCTATAGGCCTGGGAGGCTGTTCAATGCCAGGCTGAGAGTCTGCAGAAATACAGGATGTTCAGTTTGAGAAGCAGCGTCAATGAGGTTTCTTGCCTAGATCCTGACTGTGTGACTCTTGGGTCTGATAAGGTACGTGTTCATCAAGGTCTCTTTTCTGAAAAAAGAAAAAAAAGCCTTAAATGGAACTCAGCAAAAAAACAAAGCTACAATATCCTGCTGGTGAGAGAGAAAGGAAGAAACTACTGAAACATAAAACCTCTTCACATATTTGTGCATAAAAAGCCAGAAAGCGATGCACAGACAACCCCAGCACACTTATTTCACACTGTTCCTGCATATAGAGGGATGCTGCAGGATACAGGACAACCTTAGTATAAACAAGTGACCAGTACTTGACTAAAGGATAATTACTGCACAGCACTTGGCTATAAAGCTACTCTAGTGAACTGGCAACATTTTATTTCCCCTAATGATCACAAGAACATTTGTTCCTGAAGGTTTTTTTGAATGATCTGTCAGGTAAGGCATCAGACTGCAACCAAGAGTAGCTCTGTAATGGGCTTTTAACTTACCTGCTGCAACTTTCAGACATTTGCTGTATCTCTTTTATCAATACTTGATAAAAATTCTTCAGAGTCAACTCCCATGCAACAGTGAGACCTGCCAGCACTCTCAGAACAAGTTAGCAGGAACAACAGGACTGACCAGAGACTTTGGAATTAAATAAGTATTTTTACTTTCAAGTGTCATAGTGCCAGACTCGTAACTCAAGCTAACAGAATATACAGATATTCAATACAGAAAAACTCAAAGCACCTGAAAATTATCAGTCAGCACTGTACAGCCAGAGAATTCTTTTTAGAGGTTTAACCCCTGTACAAAGGTTAACAACACACTGAAAAATGCATTTTTGTGAACAAGAATACAGTTACATATGCTCTTCATTTAAACCTGGCCAGCATCTCTCTCCCCTATCTGCTTTGCAGAGGAAAGCCTCTCACTGAAGCCGCCCAGATAAAAAGGAAGCATTAATGTGCCAACTTGAGTATATATTTAATAACTTAGCATAGATTTGAGACATGGCCATTTCATGTTTGAATAACCTCTAAATCTGTGTCAAGAGAGACACTAACAGAACTCCAACAAGATACTGATGACCTACAACTCACTGAAATAATTTAACACATTTACAAGAACAGTTAAGGTATGGCTAAGAGCTGTACGTTCCTGAAGCTCAGACGTTACTACCAGCATTTCCAGTATGCTTATTCCTTCCTTCATGACTACCCATTGATGCGGTAATTCACATGGATTTCAGGTTTGATATCACACACTAGTGACAGCAGCTGGGAGAGGACCACCTCACGGTTCTTCTGGAAGTTCTGCTGGATTACACTCATCTTTTCCTGGGTCTCTTTCTCAACTTCAGTGGTGCAGCTGCCATGAGATCCAAGCGCCTACAAACAGCAAAGGAAAGAGAAAGATCACATGTGAGTCTGACAAAGAAAACGCTATGCCTAGCTCATCATCTTGTTATTCTGGAATGTCTCGGTGCATCTCAACCATTAATCTTTGCTGAGGGAATAACTGTGCTTAAAAAAAAAAGTTGGATTCTCTGCTCAGATTTCCCACTCAAATTGCATAAGTTTGTATTTCATCCACAACCCATGACTTCTATCATCTTTTATTCGTTATCTATCAGTTCAGACCACAAGCTTCTAAAGAATGCCTGAAGGAAAGATCCTGCTGTACTGGCAACTGGAACTGGGAACCCCTGGCCAGTACTGTAAGCGTGAGAAGCACAGGTAGTGTAAGAAAAGATACACCCATGATTTAGTTTAAGCACAGTCTTCACATCATCCCATTGCTTCTACCCTTAGAGAATCTTCATAAAAATTTCTGCCTAACAGAACTGTGGGCCATGTGAGATGCACAGCAAGGAGTCTCGCACAGCTTACGGTGCCCTTCTTGCTACATAAGCAAGGGCAGAGAGCAAATTCCCATTGGGACACACACACACACACGACATGGGACATGACAACATCAGAGAAAAAAAACATGCTGAAAGAGACCAGCACCCTGGGGCTCAAAGAGCTTCTCGCTCTGGAGAAGGGTAAGTAAAACAAAACTAGCTGACAGGCAGAGAGGTCTACTTTACTAGTGTGGAACTGCCTGTTATCACTGTTATCATATGCCTAGTGAACCAAGCTAACAAGCGACTGTAAAAAGTTAATCTTGACCTAATGACATGAAGGCTATTATGCAGGAGAACAGAGGTGGGGTTGTGCTAACCAGAAGATGGACAGAGGGGAGGGTTGCCAGGTCATTTTCTGAAGATTTCAGAACTGACAGGAGCACACAGGCAACAGAAGCAACCCCAACTAGTGAAGGGCCTCAGTTCTGTGCCTTTTGGGAACTCCTCCTCTTGCTCAGAAGGAAACACACCCCTTGGAACACAGCAGGCACCACTACGCAGAATGAATACAGCCTTACAACTGCTCCAGCAAGAGAGCAGCATCTATGAGGCAAGTGGTCTCCACCACATCAGTATTGTAGAAACCAGCTTCTCATAGGAGGAACGAGCTTGGGTATTTTTTTGTCACTGCTGCATACAGTGGGGCTGGGGAGGCTGCCACACATCAGGGCACCAGCTTATTATGCTAATTCACTGCCAGTCAATAGTTCTGGCTGATGAGACGCAACACACCGTGTTCTGATTCACTTCCACTGTTTTTTCCGTGACATGTGGCTGTGCATCAGAGGAAGGCAGTTAGGGAAGTGCTGCTCCAGCAACGTGTTCCACCCAGAGGGCTGCTCTCCCGGCATGCAACCCCAAATACAAGGTTAAGGGGCTGGGTAGGGAACAGTGAATAATCTAGAAAACAAACCGCTGCTTCCTTGGCTTTGAACTCCTTCTCCCTCTGCAGGCGGTACTGCTCAATCTCTGCCTGGGCCTCTTCTTTTGCCTGCTTCAGCCTCCGATTCTTTCCTGCTTCCAAAAAACATACCAAAAGAAAAAGAAGAGAAAGAATTGAAGTGCATTTCCCCACACCTCTCCAGCTACCTGATGCGTATCACTGTAGCATCACAGCAGCTACTTCTGTAGGAGGCAATAGCAGGGCACCACACACCCTTGCAGCCCCTCCAGCTCTGCAGTGTTAGCCAACCTCGGGAGCATGAGGTCACCCCGTGGGCCACCAAACCATCACCAAGCTCACCACGCAATGAGCCCCCACCAGCAAGAGCTGGAGAGGTCCTCTGAGCCAGTAGATGCATCAGACAGCCTGCAGGTCTGGCCTTGCTCATATGAGCATGCAACCTCTCAATGATCCCAAAGAGCACAGCAAAACTAACATTTAAGTCTTAGTTTTGTTTCAGGCCAGTTGCGCAACTGATCAAAAAACTGGCTACTGCATCAGCTTCCCCTCTTGGACTTTCCACCACAAGCTTACCATCATCAGAGTGAGCTCCAACACTGTACTTCTCAAAAAACTGTCAGGGGGTAGAATCGCAACATAGTGCGGCTTCATTAAAATAGTAAAAAAATTGTAAAGTGGGAATCCTTGCAACCAGAATTTCTCTCACTTAAGAGAAAAAGCTAACTTTGTTCCCTAAGGTGTAGCTCTCCCAGCTCTACAAAATGTTTAATCACCAACGTGAAAATACACTGTTTTCATCCACAAAAAAAAAGTATGAAAGAAGCAGCTACGCTCAAGCATCTCCCAAAGGAAGAGCCCGCTGCCACAAAGGACGGTGGTCCCCTCCCAGGGCGCAGTCCCCCTGGGCCAGGAGCCCCCCCCCCCGACCCACGCTGGCCTCTCCCGGCACTGACACGCAGGCTCCCCGCTGCTGCCGGGGCGCACCCGGCTTCGCCTCCGAGAGCTTCGCACCGGAGAGAGGCCTCCAGAGGGCCAGACCAAGGCCCCGAGCAGCCCTTTGGCCCCACTCTTCCCCGCACTCCCCCAGCAAGGCGGGCCCTGCACCCCGCTGCTCCCCGGCCCGCAGACACCGCTCCCCCGGGGGCCCCCTGCGCTGCCCAGCGG